GATCCTTTAAAGGAGTGGTTCTTAACCTCTCTATTGCAGCCTTGCATCCCTTTGGTTCTCAATCGTTAAAGATATGTCTCATGTTAATACATATGTAGTCGGGTTCACGGGACACGGAGACGGCGGAGTAGAGGCAGCACTGTTTATTCAACTTAACAGGGGTTACACTGGAAGGGGAAACGGCCCTTTCACCCGTATACACTCTGGGACACCCCCTAGGCTATCTAGCCTAATTCCTATGCTCCCAGTTCCTCCAGCTACAGGCGCTAGAGGAGGCTATCTGATCTGGTCCTGGTCAAGCACAGATCACGACACCCCACCAACCAGACCGGCCCTTAAAAGGGCTCCGGCTCTGAAGTTCTGGGCCGCACCACCGGCTTACCCTGCCAGCCCTCAAAAGGTCTGTGGTCAGGGGAGTCCCAGGGTCTATCTAGCCGGTCTTCCTTCTTCACTGGTTCTTCATTCTTGGCCCCAACACACTGCCCCGAGCTCGCTGGCTCCCCGCCCTTTATACCCATACACCACTGAAGGCGGGGCTGTAGCGGACGTGGTTGTAGCCACCAGGGTGTGGCTGTGTGTTACCTTCCCACACTGTGCATTTCCTTCTCACAACACCCCTACACATACATGGGGTTTGATGAAACGAAGTAGTCGTAACTTACATGCCCGTGCTGAATATATTTTCGATTTAGCTTCTAAAAAAATCTGCCATGTCTCGCACCCCCAGAAAGGGCATCTCACACTCCAGGTTAAGAACCACTGGTTCAAAGGATTGATCCTTTAGAGTCAGCTACACTGATTTTATCTAGATTTGAAGCTTTCGTGACTGCAATAATTCATACTCTTTGGTTTTATTCGGTAAAGTCACGTAGCGATTTTTGCTGTGACTGTTTCCACCAAGTGTAGCGATTTTTGCTGTGACTGTTTCCACCTGAAGGCAGAAGCTTGTGTTGCCTCCGAAACGTCGTGTTTTAATTGTTTATTTTATTTTAATTTGTTTTTTACCTACGTGACTTTACCGAATAAAACCAAAGAGTATCCACTGATTTTGTTTAGATTTTCATTATATTAAAATCCAGATTTTTCTTTCAGATGTTTCGTGGTTCACGTGCACACACGCACGCACGCGTGATCATATCACACACTGGTGGATACGAAGGCATTCATATCCGCTGAGAGTCCCGTGGTCTGACATAGAACACGTAGGAACCGAGGAGGGCATGGACATTCAGCTCCATCGCGCGTTGCTCTGGGGCTGCCCAGTTCGCATGGCCACGGTTGAGCCATAGATCAGCGATGTCATTACCACGCGCAGCGCATCCCAGGCACACTCGGAAACACTGGCAACCCATCGTTGTGTGGCTGATGTTCGCGTAGAGCAGCAGCCGCACTTTGACATCGAGGTGTGTTGTGGCAGTTGATCGCGTCAGGAATCGGCGGAGTGGAGTGCATCGCTGTGACGGTGGCTCCTTCTATGAAGATCTCTGTTTGAGACAGAGGGTCTTTGTGTGAGTCAGAGGGTCTCTGTGCGATTTGAAGGGTCTCGGCGTGAGTTTATGGGTCTCCGCGTGAGTCTATGGGCCTCGGTGTGAATCTATAGAACGCTCTATTGTTCTTCTTCGTGTGGCTGATTTAGACGTGAAGCCACAGCTGTGTGATGCTGCATCGCTGTGGTTGATGAGCCAAGGTGATTGCATCAGGAGTAGCGGAGTTGTGCATCGCTGCTGTGATGATGACGATGATTATTAACAATGATGATGCCACCTCGTCAGGGTTTGTGAATAGGGCATTCAGTCCACGCTGCATGCTCCACGGTTCTGTTCTGGGCAGGGACCACAGTCTCCGCACACTGCCCAGCGAGTGTTGTCGATGAGTCCACCTGTGGCAGAGCCACACTGACGCGATCTGGCTTCCAGTGCCTTCCTCCTGTTCGTGCGTATACGTTGGACTGCTTTCGGTTTAACACGCAGTTGTCTTTCGCAACCAATGTCATCCATAATACCGCTTTTTGGGTTGGATCGCGTAAATATCTAAATGTGTCGTTAAACCCGCCACCACCCGAAACAGCCAATAAGTAAGGTTTGTCACGTAAACAGAACGTGCCAATTCGTTACTAGTACAGCACACCGGTGCGTTGGGAGAGCCAAGCCACAACATTTACAATCTAAGTATGACGTTTCGCCAGTAATTACAACCAGCTTCATCAGGCGACAGCCAAATGTGTGGCGAAAACCTCCTGTTCCGTTCCGTACGTAGCCGACCGTGCTAATCAGAGGCGCCGGGGTTAAGGACTGCGTACTCGACGCATCTCCACGTGAGAGGTCAGTCGCGCGCTGGCAGCGAGTGCGCTCGCGACGGTCACAAAGGGAGCGATGTCCCGGCGCGATTTTAAGGCGTGGGCCATTGATGGGGGCACGAGGTGGACACTTTGCTCTTCGAGGGGTGAGGGTGAAGGGACGCAATGCGACTCATTGGTCGGTGTCAGGGTGCAACCTGTCGGGTTTTGTGATGTAGCGGGCAACGGTAAATGAGTCAGTTTGACACATTGGAATTTTGTAACCAGTGTTACCCATAATAGAGGGGTGCTTTGTTGGGTTAGATGGCGTTAAATATAAATGGGTCTTTGACGCCACCACCAATGCTGTGTGTTTAACTCTCCAACACACAACCGGTTGAGTGCTGGACTAGTAACTAAGTCATCTTCTTTGGTTCTTTCGGTAAAGTCACGTAGAATGAGAAAATTATAAAATAAAACAATAAAATTCTCACGACGTTTCGGCCACAACACAAGTGGCCTTCTTCAGGTGAAAGGGATACACCTGTTGGGACGACAGAGCTTCAATAAACGCTGTTAAGATTCGTAGCGCCCTTTTAAGCTGGTTGAGCGAAAGTCAGGCACCCAAGCAGTAGAATTTAGCATTAAAAAAGGTTGAGGGATTAGCTTGTGACTGGTCACAGAAATGGCTACGTAAATTCAAAGCCTACACATCCACACAGGCACCCAGCACAAATCAAACAATAGAATTTAGCATTGAAATAGCTAAGGGGATTAGCTTGTGACTGGTCACAGAAATAGCTATGTTAAAGTTGAAGCCTACACATCCACAGAGGAACCTAGTACTGGTCACAGAAGTAGCTTTGTTAAAGTCAAGGCTTGCACATCCACAGAGGTACCTCGTACATGGACGCCAATGGGTGCTGCAACAAATCAACTATCATACAGTAAACTTACGTGAAAAAAAACCTAAGTCTACCTTACATCAATATAATAAATGTGCTCAATGTATTCTTCAATAAGCTGAGCTATTAACAGCAACTGGGTATACACTACACTATATAATGAATACCATATAGTAAACCAATGAAAATTGAAATATAAACTACCTCAATGTTATCAATAAACTCTATATATTCTCCAAACAGCTGAGCTACCAACAATAAGTCGTAATATATCACTATGCTGTATGGCGAAAAATGGGTGGATTCTTACCCTCAACTTCAGCACCACGGAAGGTACGTGCTCCGTTCAGACGGACGAGTCCATCCATGGTCGGAACGGAGGAGGGAGGAGGGAGACGGCTGCGAGGCGCTGTTATACTCCATATTATTGACCGTGGTGTGAGAGGTATTAAGAGTCAGTGCCAGCGAAAGAGCTGCAGTCTGAAGGTCATCGTAAAATACAATTAATTAAGAACCGAAATGGTTTAAAACATCTTTCCAGTGGTTACTAAGCCAGAATCCATCTTCTCGGTTGAAATTGTCTCTGTGCTTGTATATGTGGATGGACTCATGAACGAATCTCTCATGGTAACCGGTTGGCTTGCAAAGAACCTCCGTCTTGGAGAAAGCTTTAAATCGAAATAGTAACTAATTGGCACGTTTTGTTTACGTGACAAGCTTTACTCATTGGCTGCGTCGGGTGGTGGCGGGTTTAACGACACATTTACATTCACGCGACACACGCACGCACGCAGGCACGTATGTTGAACTTCTTTTGCACCGTACGTAGCCAACCGCGCCAATCGGGAAGTGCGCACGTGGGAAGGTTACCGACTCGGACGGTTAAAGGCGCAGCTCTGAAACACCTTGCGTGCGCCACTGCTGCAGACGTTACGCACACACATGTGGGATAGTGGTTCGCGACCTACCACTGCGGTTCCATTCCCCGGCCATGGTGAAACGTCAGTGGCGAGTGACGTCTGAACGAGTCGCCCCCCCCAAATCTACACCCCACCACCAAGCCGTTCTGACCACCGTGGTGAAGTATGATCATAACTGAGTGCTGCTGTATTCGCATCGGACGCTTTGCTGGGCCATTGCGCGCACAGCGCCGTGCTGTGCATGCCACCTGTCCACAAATCCCCCGGATAGCCTTAAACAGGCTGTTCGGACGAGAGCTGTTCGTATCACCTACGAAGATCGGCACGGCACGCGAGGGTGGCAAGCACAACGGCCGGCAGCATTTTACTACACACCGCACCAGGCACTCATTTGAGGAGGCTGAGTCGACCTAGGGGAGGCCCAGGACCAGTTCAGACAATCGTCACGGTTGGTGGTGACCGTGAGCGGGAATTGAACTCCAGTGGCCGGGTTCGCAACCCAGCACACTAACCGCGACGCCATCGCTCCCCACACACAAACACGTGGGCACACAATCATATAAATATATACCTACACACCCACACACACTGACCATCCAGCCACGAGCCTCAACAGACTGTTGGGGCAAGTGCTGTTAGCCAGCAGCACCTATGAAGGTCGGTGCGGCACACGACGGGGTGGGTGGCCAGCACCACGCCCGGCCGCCTTTGTCTCCCCAGTGGTGATGATTAGACACCGCACCAGGTATTATTTTGAGGCTGAGTCAACCTACGGGAGGCCCATGATCGGTTCAGGCAATCATCACTGCTGATGGCCGTGAGCCACTCACCCACACACACACAACCACCAACAGCATCGACTCACCCACATTCACACACGCGCGCGGTTCGGTTACTCACACGAACACGTGGTAGACGAATGCGAGTCCCCGGGGCCGCTCGAGCAGGTTGTAGAGGAGGTTTTGTATCCTCCTGTAGCGCGCGTTCCTCCTGCCCACGTTACTCGCCACCCTCGCCGCGTTCAGCACCAGCGGCTTGCCCAGCAGGCTCAGGCGGGGCCCCGAGCCCACGGGCAGCGCACCACCCCGGGGAGCCACCTGCCCAGGAGACACCACCACCTGCTGCTGCTGATGGTGATGATGGTGCTGGTGATGATGCACCATCCCGGGGCTCAGCGGGGGACTCTGCAGCTGCATGAAACCGTGAGCGTTTGGAACCGAAGTGCGGCATTGTCTCCCTTCTTCTGGGTAGTCCCCGCTCATCGTCTCGCCAGGAGGTGTCCGCCTCTTGGTGGTGACCTCCGAAGAGCCATCGGTGGTGGCTGCTGCTGCTACTTCTGAACCTCTTCGCTGATGAAGCTGATTACGACAGTCGCTCTCGTTATCTCTGCCGTCGTAGTGATTGTGCTGATGCTGCTGCTGATGATATTGTTCATCATCAGCATCGCGAGTCGGCTGTTGGTGTTGATGGTGTAAGGGCTGCAGCTGTAGAATCACGTACTGTGGTTTGTTGTGGGGTTGTTCCAGGCTACAGGTGCTGTTGAGTTGTTGGTGGTGGTGGTGGTAGTGGTTGTTGTGCTGTTGCTGCTGCTGTTGTTGCTGGTGAAGAGCGGCTCGCTTTGCGGAGCTGGGAGACTGTGTTCTTACCATAGCAAGGGTGTCGAGCGCACTGGGCACAGACCACAGAGAGGGAGGAGGGGGTGGGGAAGTGGCGAGGGATGAGGGAGCGAGAGTGGGGGGGAGTCTGCCTCTGTGCGCGTGCGGGAGGGAGCCGGCATCTCGCTACACTACTCCATCAGACCAGGCTCAACAGATAGCAAACACAGAGGCAATGATCCCCCGTAGAGCCTTTAAACAGACCGTTGGGGCAAGTGCTGTTCGCGAGCACCTATGAAGGGCCGGCACGGCGCACGAGGGTGGGTGGGGTCGTTGGCCAGCACTACGCTCGGCCGCCTTTGTCTCCCTAAGTGGCGATTTTCACACATCGCACCGGGTACTCATTTGGTACTCATTTGAGGCTGAGTCGACCTAAGGGAGGCTCAGGACCGGTTCAGATATTCGTCACTGGCGTTGGCCGTGAGCGGGAATCGACCTCGGGGGTCGCTGGGTTCGTAGCGCAGTGCGGCGCTCACCACGGCGCTCACCACTGCGCCACCGCTCCCCGCAACGCAGGAGACGGGCACCCTTCGTGAATGGGAAGCGAGCGGGCGGGCGGGTGACTCCCCGCCGCCCGCCCCAATCATCAAACCATAGCAACAATATTCAGAATCTTCATTCAATTCCCCCCCTCCTTTCCTGGAGGAATCCGATGAGCTATGAAGTTCTCGTTGACAGATGTCCATCGTCGCGTCCGCCGCCGCTGTTGCCGCTGCCCATTGCCCTGACAACCCGAGGCGACGCTGGGGGAGGACCCTCCGTGAGAATTCGCGCATTTCGCATTTCGCTGTGTGCCTCACGACGCCCCAGAGAGATCCCCCATCACCACCATCCCCCCACCACCACTCCCACCATCACCACCACCCCCCCACCACCACTCCCACCATCACCACCACCCCCCCACCACCATAACCACCACCCCACACCACCGCCTACCACCACCACCACCCCCCACCACCACCACCCCCACCATCACCACCACCAACCCCACCCCCACCATAACCACCACCCCACCACCACCACCCCCCACCACCACCCCCACAACCCCATCACCACCCCCACCATCACCACCACCACCACCCCCCACCACCACCACCAGCCCCCACCACCACCCCCACCACCACCCCCACCACCACCACCATCTCCCATCACCCCACCACCCCCACCATCACCACCACCACCCCACCACCACCCCCTCACCACCACCACCACCCTCCTACCTCCTCCGTTAGGCCATTGGGAGCGGGCCCTCTCCAGTCCGCGCGCGTGGCGCAGGCAGAAACCACCGCCGCCACTCCACTGCTGGATGATGAGGGTCCCGTGCGCCCCCACGCAGCGGGTGACTGACTCGCAAGAAGCGGCGTGGGGAGTGGGCGCGGCAGCGCAGACGCGGGGACGTAGAGGAGTGCAATACAACACGACGATCAATTCCTCTGCACTGCCCTCTGCTGCCCAGCACGGAGCCCCCGCAGCTCGTCGCTCACTTAACTCCGACCCCCCCCATATCCCCCTCCACCACCCCCTCTATGTCAAAAGCCAACGATGTGGGGGGGGGGGGGGGGTGAATGGGGTGCAGCGCGCTAACCACTGCGCCCACCGCTACAACTCGTAGCCGCTGGGGTTGGTACCGTATTCTCCGGATTATAAGGCGCACTTGCTTCCCCCCTCTGTCATTTAAAACGCACACACGCTGAGGCATGCGTCGTATCCAGTAGCCATGCCTATGAGTTACCGTGATTTGTGCAACCCATACCTATGTAGTGTCACACCGCAACGTTGTAACAAGTCACCTGCTTACACTTTATTCAGCTATTCTTGCACCAGTTGAAGGCACTCCTATACTTTTCTATATGGTCACTTCTCCCCACTCTTTATCTACTTTCTACCTCGCTTATCCTGCACTCAGCAGCTCTGCTCTCAGCGACTTCGCACGCAGCGTCTCCGCACTCAGCGTCTCCGCACGCAGCGTCTCCGCACACAGCGTCTCCACACTCAGCGTCTCCGCACACAGCGTCTCCGCACACAGCGCCTCCGCACGCAGCGTCTCCACACGCAGCGTCTCCACACGCAGCGTCTCCACACGCAGCGTCTCCGCACACAGCGCCTCCGCACACAGCGTCTCCACACACAGCGTCTCCACACACAGCGTCTCCGCACACAGCGTCTCCACACACAGCGTCTCCGCACACAGCGTCTCCACACACAGCGTCTCCACACACAGCGTCTCCGCACTCAGCGTCTCCGCACGCAGCGTCTCCACACACAGCGTCTCCACACACAGCGTCTCCGCACTCAGCGTCTCCACACGCAGCGTCTCCGCACACAGCGCCTCCGCACACAGCGTCTCCACACACAGCGTCTCCACACACAGCGTCTCCGCACACAGCGTCTCCACACACAGCGTCTCCGCACACAGCGTCTCCACACACAGCGTCTCCACACACAGCGTCTCCGCACTCAGCGTCTCCGCACGCAGCGTCTCCACACACAGCGTCTCCACACACAGCGTCTCCGCACACAGCGTCTCCACACACAGCGTCTCCGCACACAGCGTCTCCACACACAGCGTCTCCACACACAGCGTCTCCGCACTCAGCGTCTCCGCACACAGCATCTCCACACACAGCGTCTCTGCACTCAGTGTCTCCACACACAGCGTCTCCACACTCAACGTCTCCACACACAGCGTCTCCGCACAGCGTCTCCGCACGCAGCGTCTCCACACTCAGCGTCTCCACACACAGCAACTCCGCACTCAGCGTCTCCACACACAGCGTCTCCACACACAGCGTCTCCACACACAGTGACTCCGCACTCAGCGTCTCCACACACAGCGTCTCCGCACGCAGCGTCTCCACACACAGCAACTCCGCACTCAGCGTCTCCACACACAGCGTCTCCGCACGCAGCGTCTCCACACACAGCGTCTCCACACACAGCGTCTCCGCGCACAGCGTCTCCACACACAGCGTCTCCGCGCACAGCGTCTCCGCACACAGCGTCTCTGCCCTCATCTACGCTCCCTCAGACCAGCTCACCCATCTGTCCCGGGCGGGGGGGTTAAGCCAACACCCGCCCGGTGACGGCGTGAGGGTTGAGGTCCCGTTGACGGCTGGAGCGGCAGCGGCGAGATGTCTTCACTCTTCGACCCCGGCGACAACTCTCTTCTCCGCTCACGCACACACCCTTATATCCCTCTGCTAATTATCCGAGACCTCTCGTGCGTCTCTTTAAGCTCTCGCCAGTCCGACGCCTGTTGGCCCATCAATCAACCCTTATCTCCCGTCTCCCCGGCAACACCTCTGGTCTCAACGTGCACAACCGGTCGTCCCCGTTTGCACCTGCTTCGCCCCATAACAACTGGCGGTTTGTCCGTGCAACCCTCAAGTTGCACACGCGCACCTGTTTGCCCTCGGTTAACTGTGCGCACCGCGTATTTCACTCCTCTACACCTGTCAACCTCTTATCAGTGCCCTACCTTATTACAGACGAACTCATAAATCATTGGTCACGCCGTGCCACTTACAAATCACAACGTTTATCCTACAAAGTCCCATCACAAGGGAAAAACCCAAACAAATATTTAAAAAAATTGTTGCCGGACCGAAACGGCTGTATGCCGCCGTATAGAACTGAAAACTAAATTTCTCCCCAGTACAAGAATACGGGGTGAACTTTATGGGTTGGCCCGGTATGACGGCTGTATTGACACAAACGGGGTGCACAAGTTTGAGGCGCGTCTTACTTCCCCCCGCGGTGACGACATTGACCATCGAACCGTGGCCACGCAAGCGGGGGCTGCCACGGCGGCTCTGAGTTTGGGATCCGTCGGGGGGGGGGGGGAGGTGTCGGTCAGGAACCATCACAACGACTGCTCGCCACCTCCTGAGTGAGCCGCATTTGGAACGCCACGTCGCTCCATCTCACGGCGGGACCCCAAAGAGACGGAGACACTCTCTGTGACACTCTCTGTGACACTCTCTCTGTGACACTCTTTCTATGAAACTCTGTGTGACTCTCTCTGTGACACTCTCTGTGACACTCTCTCTGTGACACTCTTTCTATGAAACTCTGTGTGACTCTCTCTGTGACACTCTCTGTGACACTCTCTCTGTGACACTCTTTCTATGAAACTCTGTGTGACTCTCTCTGTGACACTCTCTGTGACACTCTGACTCTCTGTGACACTCTTTCTATGAAACTCTGTGTGACTCTCTCTGTGACACTCTCTGTGACACTCTCTGTGACACTGTGACACTGGCTGTGACACTCCGTGACACTCTCTGTGACACTCTCTGACTCTCTGTGACACTCTTTCTATGAAACTCTGTGACTCTCTCTGTGACACTCTCTGTGACACTGCGACACTGGCTGTGACACTCCGTGACACTCTCTGTGACACTTTCTGACTCTCTGTGACACTCTTTCTATGAAACTCTGTGACTCTCTCTGTGACACTCTCTGTGACACTCTCTGTGACACTGCGACACTGGCTGTGACACTCCGTGACACTCTCTGTGACACTCTCTGACTCTCTGCGACACTCTTTCTATGAAACTCTGTGTGACTCTCTCTGTGACACTCTCTGTGACACTGCGACACTGGCTGTGACACTCTGTGACACTATCTGTGACACTCTCTGACTCTCTGTGACACTCTTTCTATGAAACTCTGTGTGACTCTCTCTGTGACACTCTCTGTGACACTCTCTGTGACACTGTGACACTGGATGTGACAATCTGTGTGACTCTCTCTGTGATACTTTCTGTAACTATCTCTGTGACACTCTCTGTGACTCTCTCTGTGACACTCTCTGTGACACTGTGACACTGGATGTGACAATCTGTGTGACTCTCTCTGATACTTTCTGTAACTATCTGTGACACTCTCTGTGACACTCGCTGTGACTCTCTTGTGACACTCTCCGTGACACACTCTGTGACACTCTGACACGCTCTGTGACATTTTCTCTGTGAGACTGTGACACTCTTTGTGACAGTGCGACACTATCTGTGACACTCTTTGTGACACTATCTGTGACTCTCT